TCGCGGATCGTTTAAAATGGAAGGAGGATCGGCTAGATATTTTGATCGGAAGTTCGAACCAATCGAGTGCCAGAGCATTGATGCTCCTTCGGCAGAATAATGCTAAAGAAGCAACCTGGCTCGACGGGCTTGCAAAGCTCGCACGCTTGAACGAAAGACATTACCAAGAGTCTTTGCATCTACTAGTTCAACTAGACTATAACTTCGTCGCCACCCTCCGTTTTGTCGATCGAGTCAAGGATCCTATGGGATGTGGCGGATTCCATTTCTCCATGACCTTATCCTTACTCAGTAACCTCAGAGGAGAGGCCTCTGTCAAGGAAGAAATTGTCGAGATCATGAACAAATTGGGCCTTTACGATTGTAATGAACAGCGGCTCACTTTCATTTTTTCGAGCATTTCGTATGATTCCGTACGGATGCGAAGTTTAGTCAGGAAATTGCTCGCAATTAATGGGCGCTTGAATAACTCTCAGCGGGACGCATTATGGCTGCTGGAATTCTATAATGGTTTCGAAGATTTTATGCACTTGATGGAATCGTTAGTCACACGTTGGGTGGAGGACGAGGATAGATGTATCGTTTTGGAATTTTTGGAAACATTGGATGGTGACCACAGGCGATTAGAGCAAGTCATCGGGACCCTGCATCAATATGAGAAGGGCTCATCTTTGGAAAGACTATCCTTGCCCAATCGTGCACTGAAGGCTCTCAAACGAAATGATTATGATGTGGACAAGACCCTTCAAGAGTGGCGTCGTCTGCATGCCGTCAACCCTCGAACTACCCACTGGGATTATGTATTAAAAGTTTATGCGGAATGCCTCTATGACATCGAATATACGGTTTCTTTATTGCATACGCTCAATACTCAATACATTGGCGATCCCTTCTGGTATGATGTGCTTGTCGTTCATACCCTGCATATTTGCCAGAAGACAGGTATAAAACCTAACGCCAATCGCATGAAATCACATTTCAAAAAACACTACAGATATAACGGGAAGTCTCTTTGGGGTGCTACGATTGGTATGAAATTGACACATCTCGCTTCCGTGATTCGCGATGACAAGAAGGGACTCTATGGTCGAATCCACATAGCTGGATCTCGCTAATTGTGCTACATCTTATGATTTAGTTCCATCCGGTGTGGGTTTAGATTGTCCTCAATAGGTGATGTTACAGCACATATCCATGGTCTTATTATTCTCGTCCTTCATCCTGTGTAATCATATCATGTCATTTGTCTTCTCTCTAGTTCCTCTATGCTATCCACCTCTTTATGTATGCTACTCCTGTCTGTGAAATAACACCATGTTTCTTTGAATCTCATATTGGCTCTGCAGAC